GGTATTTTTACGGATGCGCATTGGTGATTATTTTGGAAGAATTAAGAATAAAATATGGTTTTATAATCTTTGATAAAAATCGTTAAATGTTGTAAAATTTGGTAATTTTATCATTATATTTTAGAGCTTGATACTTTATGGCGTAAAAACAATTAATTCGGTTAAATTTACTTTTCAGTTTTGCATTATTTACCAAATGTATGATAATAAGAACAATAATTTTAAAATAACATAGAAAAATTAAATGTGATGAATTATTATTAAAACTAACATATTTCTTGTAACCTTTATTATTTTTATAATTTTAAACTGTCACAGAACTAGGACAGTTATTTACATAGAAAATGTTAAGAGTATTTTAAGACTTCTGAGAGATATCAAATTTATATAAAACGGCGAGTAAAAACAAAACTCCGTCTTTCTTCAAAGTTTATAGAATTTTCTTTTTCAACTTTCAATCTCTCACTTTTCTCGTTTCAGCGCTTTTCTTTGCTTTGTCCTGTCTATTTTTCATCTTTCAAGTCTGTCGATGCTCATTTCAGCGTATTCTTACAAACCCTATGATGCATAGTAATGCATGAATTCTTAAGCTTCCCTTTTCCATTCCTTTCCTATATGAAAAACTAATCTTGATTTCTAGTTCGAATTTTTTTTTTTCCAATTGTGTTGAGAATCATATTTTCCGTTTTAAAAAAAGCTATAGCTTTGTCATAAAATGGTAGATTTGTTCTAAATAGCCATTTAAGAACCATTTTTATTTTAATAAAAAGTTTATAAATTCTACTATGTCTTATTTTAATTTATCGTTATTGCTATATTTTTTAAAATAAGAGAACCGTTAACCCTTTGACACAGACATTTCATTAAACATATTTTTTTAATTTTTTTGATTATTTTCTAGTAATTTAGGTTAAAATAAGTGAAAAATATTATGTATTGATTTATTAATAATTTGTAGTTATGAAATACAGCATGCGTAAAATCCGTGTCTTTTTTGCTTTCAAGGTAAAATCTTCAAAACATGGCTCACTTCCAAACAATAATTTTTCCAATTTGCACTTATTTGCAATTTTTTAGATCTAAGAGAAACAGTTATTCATTGAAATTTCTTTGATTTCGAAATAAAATATTAATAAATTTTGAATATGAATGAAAAAAATTCAAACTACTTTTCGTGAATTTCATATTTTAGTACAAATATAATACTCCTAATCTGACACATTTTTATTAACTATTAGTCAGTCATTTATAATTAAAAAAATGCCTTAATATATTTTTGCATATAATTAGAGCATCAGAAAAAAACACGAAAGGGACACCGGTTTTCCGTCTCAACTAAAAGCTTAAAATGAAACTTAAACAGTAAAAATGGACTTTTGTTTTACTTTTCTTTTTAAGTAAAGTCTTGATATTAACAATCGTTATATTTTTTAATATTTTCATTCATTATTTTTTGGTTTTGTTTTGCTTTTTAGGAACTTAAAAAATAGATAATGGCTTCTTTTACTATGCTTTTATTTATTGATGATTACATTGCTACACTTTGACTTCCACTTTCATTGGTTATTTTAAATAATAAAAGTATATCAAAAAACTAAAAATTTACAACTCATGGGTTTGCTACTGAATTTCATTCTACAACCGAATTCCATTGTTCTTATCTTAGTTTATAATTTTAAAAGCTATAAGATTAGAAACAACGTTTATTTATATAGCATTTTCTTATTGACATTATTACTTACTTTAATTTAAATACTACCATCTCAATCAATTATAGTAAATGAAAGTTCAAAAAGCTTTCATGTATTTTCTTACAAATACTTTTAGTAATTAACATAGAAATTATAGTTTTATAAATTGTGATTTTTTATAATTAACTAAGTAAACTTTCAGGAAATTAAGCATGAAAGTATTTGTCCCAATTAGCGATTGATAATCTATTTATCAATTATAATCAATCGGGTATGTCATGAGTTTTCGTGGAGCACTTGACAAATCAATATCAAAAGTAGTTTGGTACTAATTTAAAACATTTATTGGTTATATCGCTGGTTCAAAACTAAAACGACACATTTTCAAACGTATTATGCCTGCAGATGTGTCGTTTTAGTTTTGAACCAGCGATATCAACTTAAACTATTATTTTTTTAAAGTATTCAAGTTGAAATAAGAAACGATGTATTTAAAAAAAAATCCAACTCATCTAAAAAATATGCTTCTCATTTTCAAGTAATGGCTCCGAGCAAATTTTTTTGCTGAGTTTCTAAATGATGCCCTGCAACCACTGTTTGCTGCAAATTGCCAAATGCCCGAAAGGAATTATATAAAATCGATGTACTGACTTATTCACAGATCAATAATATTTTATTAGAGTAAAACGTACTCTAATATTTTACTCACGAATTAAATTTCTAATTATATACTTTGTTAATTTTTTTACGGCTCTTAACTAACGAAAATAAATTTCAGGATAATTAAAAAAAATTGTGGATAGAAATAATCAAGATAATTATAATAAATTAAACAGATTTTATTGCGTCATATATTTAAAATTGAGTCTAATTGGCTCAATAAAGGAGCATGAGTTTTGAAGTTTTGGTATTATATACCATAGTAGTAAAAATATGATGCCATGCTTCGTATGAAACATATCTCCCACTTACAAAATCATATAATCGTTATAAGCCTTTAATTATTTTTTCCAAATATTATCTTCTTTTATTATGTATTGACAAAAAAAAACTCTTTCTTTTGAGAGATTTTTAAAGAAATTTCTTTAAGGTTCCGTTAATTGGTGATTCACACCAATAAGCAAACGATCAATATACTATTCAATTAGGTTCCCTTTTTCACAATTTAAATAAAAATGCGAGAATTTCTTTAAGGTTCCGTTTATTGGTGATTCACACCAATAAGCGAACGATCAATACGCTCCTCAATTAGGTTCCCTTTTTCACAATTTAAATAAAAATGTGAGAATTTCTTTAAGGTTCCGTTTATTGGTGATTCACACCAATAAGCAAACGATCAATATGCTCTTCAATTAGTTTCCCTTTTTCACAATTTAAATAAAAATGTGAGAATTTCTTTAGGGTTCCGTTTATTGGTGATTCACACCAATAAGCGAACGATCAATACGCTCCTCAATTAGGTTCCCTATTTCACAATTTAAATAAAAATGTGAGAATTTCTTTAGGGTTCCGTTCATTGGTGATTCACACCAATAAGCAAACGATCAATACGCTCCTCAATTGGGTTCCCTTTTTCACAATTTAAATAAAAATGCGAGAATTTCTTTAAGGTTCCGTTTATTGGTGATTCACACCAATAAGCAAACGATCAATACGCTCTTCAATTAGGTTCCCTTTTCACAATTTAAATAAAAATGTGAGAATTTCTTTAAGGTTCCGTTTATTGGTGATTCACACCAATAAGCAAACGATCAATATGCTCCTCAATTAGTTTCCCTTTTTCACAATTTAAATAAAAATGTGAGAATTTAAATAAAAACGAAACAATTTTTTAAGATACGCATGTTAGTTTAATTTGTTTTTTTCTTTATTTGGGAGTTTAGTTTGCTTTCATATTTTTCGAAAGAGAACAGCACTGGAATTTTTTAATTTGCTTAGTTGTTTTAACGATCGGACAATTAATATATTTTGGTTATTTTAACTGTAACTTTCTCTTTGCAGATTTTACATGTAGTCGTGTTATTCTCAGTGTACTTTTGACTCAAGTTATTTTCGCTTTAAAATGAGCTTCTCTGGATATTCAATTTTATTTTGAGGTATTGTATTATATTCTAATTTTGATTTCCATTATAAGGCATAGGGGCACAGTCAGTTTCTTGTTTAACTACTGACTACAAAAAGGCTCAAGCATGGTAGTGTGTCCCTTGATGAAATACTGCTTCTGGTAATATGCGCATCTTCAAAATTTGTTTGGTTTTTATTTAAATTCTCGCATTTTTATTTAAATTGTTTACTTAAGACAATTTTGGTTTAAGCTGCTTATAGCGCTTTTCCATTTCGACTTATTTTGCTTAAATTCTGGTCTTCATTTTTGTTTAATTAAATTTTCATACTTATATTAGGTTCCCCTCTTCATCAAATAGTTTGCGTTATGTTTAAAAACTAAAAATTTCGTCCGATGAGGAAAAATGTTGAATAATCAATATTGTTAAAAACAGAATACCATTTTCCTTACCAGAGGACTAACTAGATGGCGCCACGAGATCTAAAACTCTTACTAATTAACAACAATTTTGGCAGATGAATATGTCGATCGAGAGATCATGTTGTATTTGTAGTGTTGTTTCTGTAGTGCTGTTAATATACACATGTTAACTAATTCGAAGGAGTATTTTTTCTTGAGTTTGTGGTCATTATTTTGATTAATTTAGATACGAACAGCCCGGGTTGAAGAACAGGTAAGAAACCTTTCAGTGATACCTGTTTCAGTTGAAGATATAAAAGAAATAAGTTATCTTTTTTAACATGGCATCCCTGCCGGGATTATCGGTTCAACATGCCCCGAAACTCAAAAAGGGGAGTGTTAAAAACAGAAAACCATTTTCCTTTCTAGAGGACAAACTAGATGGTGCCGCGAGATCTGGAATTCTTACTAATTAACAACAATTTTGGCAGACGAGTATGTTACTGTCGATCGAGAGATCATGTTGTATTTGTAATGTTGTTTCCGTAGTGCTGTTAATATACACATGTTAACTAATTCGAAGGAGTATTTTTTCTAGAGTTTGTGGTCATTATTTTGATTTATTTAGATACGAACCGCCCGGGTTGAAGAACAGGTAAGAAACCTTTCATTGATACCTGTTATAATATAAAATAGATAATATAAATATATAGATATAAAAGTTATCTTTTTTAACAAAGATCTTATTTATACGTTTTATAAATTAGATTCAACAAATTATACAGTGCATATAGTGAATCCTAGTTATCTTACAACAGTGTGATTAGGAGTTTATTTATACTTACACCCATTTGGTCGTCATAGCGCCTTGTGTGGTCAGCTATGTAATGAACGGATTCCATTGCCTTTTGTAAATCTGGGCAAAAATGCAATCTGCGAAGTGGTTCATGCATTTGTGCGACGTCCTCTTCCTTTGGACCATGGATTCGACAGCCACTGTAGTGAGGCAGCTCGTCGTAGCTGGGGCAGCGACCTCCACTCCCATTCCCTACATAGTCTTGCGGTTGCAGTTCTGTACCGTTACAGGTACGAACCATCACCTGGAACGAAAAAGAAAATCTGGTAATTTTTTGTAGTTTGAATTGGACGTTATGAGTACCGGGTACATTCTGGTGGTCCGTTCGCTTTGAACATGAGTAAAATTACCTGAGCCCCGAGTCAAATTAGTAAAGTAAGGTTTATGGTAGGCAAGCTTAAGGTTTATGGTAGCCGACCGGCCTGTGTAGGGGGCAGGGAACTGTCCTTGCATAAGAAAGGTTCTGGGTTCGAATCCCGGGCAAGGCATGCCTGTTTCTTTCTCTCTCTGTGTGTTCTATGTCCTTTCTCCTTTGTGTATGTGAATGTGACCCGCCCTATAAACGGGTTTGTGGTCGTGTAAATGGTGTGGCAGAAGTCGAATTCTTGGCCATAGATGGCGCCACTGAAAAGCAAAAACAATCGCACCCCCTCTGCCTAAACAGGCATGCGACAAAAAAAAGGTTTATGGTTTTTTGGTCATATTATCTGAAATAAAATACTTCATAAATGAAAGTGCAGAACTTAATAAATGATAAAAGTTATCATTTTTATACTGTGGCAATGATTCTCATACAAAGCAGTGCGACAATTTGAAAGTAATGGAGTTGTACTTTCAAAGGGTACCCTGTGACAAGGTCACTCTACTTTGTTTAGAGGTAATATATGTCAAGTACGCTTTCAGAAATTAAACATTTGACGATTCAGTAATCCTTGAGCTGTATTTAGTTAATTTTGAGAATCATTTTGTCACAAAATCACGTAATTTGTGACGAAACACCAAATCTCAAATATATGACCTCAACTCTGAACTTCATCGCAGTGCATTGTGGGGGATTGTTAATTAAAATGACGAAGCTAGAATGAAGACTAGACATTTGAAACTAGACGACATAGAAATGACGACATAAGCCGACCGGGCTAAATGGTGGTCAAGTAGTTGGCTTCATACCAGGTACATACTGGGTATGACCAGGAATCCTGTCACTCGTACCGGATTCAAAGCCTGCTACGGGCATGAATGTAATTTATCTCTCTGTTCTATCGGTTTTTCTTGTGCTGTTGGTTCTCGTGGTATTCCTCTCCCCGTAAGACAAATGCGGGTTAGTTCCATCAAAAAGTCCTCCACGAAGACAAATTTCTCCCAATACTTGATCCAGGAGTTCCCTTATCTTCTGGATTGAGTTCAAATTTACAAGGCTGTGGAGTTAAACATCGATAGTCAAAAGCTCGGAATGGAATCAGCTGTTCAACGATGTTCATAAAATTAAATATAATATCTAAAATAAGTTAGTAGCTGTGGCTCAGGGGATACAGCAATTGCATCCTAACAGTGACCCAGGTTTGGATCCCAGATTTGGTTGCTCGCTACTCAGTACGAATTCTGCTCCCGGCTCGCACCGACCATAGTGCTGACATAGAATATCCTTAATGGTAGACCGATCATAAGTTAGAATTCCCTTGGCGAAGGGCTGACCATAGCAGATTTTGTGGTTTTCTTCTCCATGTTACTCAAATGCGTGTTAGTTCCCTTGAAATTCCTCCACAAAGGTTAGTTTTTCCCAATCCAGGAGTTTAAGTTTTATTCCAGGAGTTTCATTGCCTTAAAGATTGGGTTCAAAATTACAACGCTACGGAGCTGAACATTGATATTCGTAAAATCAAAATTGAGATGGCAGTTCATCGTCAGTTATAAAATAAAATAGGTAAATAGATAAATAAATGCCCGGTGGCTGAGCGGTAGCGCTTCACGCTGTCGTGCCACAGGTCCCTGGTTCGATCCTCGGGCCGGGCAAGGCTGACTCAGCTTTTCATCCCTTCAGCGGGTCGATAAATGAGTACCAAGCATGCTTGGGAACTAAACACTGGGGGTTCCGTGTTCGGCTGACCACCTGATCGGAACATCTGCTCCTGCACCCCAGAGCCCAAGGTCAAGAAAACTGAGATGGGCACAGCACGCCTTGGACCTCTAAGGGCTGTCGCGCCGCTGAGTTTAGTTTTAGATAAATAAGTAAAAATTAATAACTATTAACTAATAGATATAAATAAACATAAATAAAATTCGATAAAAATATAAATAAACATGAATAAAATTTAATTAAATTAAACCAGACTTAAATTTTAAGTAAATAAATAAATTGAATAAATAAATAAAGTGAATAAATTGCATAAATAAATTAACTAAATAAATAAATTTAAAAATAGCTCATCAATAAAACTCATTTTGCCAAACATAAAATTTCATTTTAAAAACTGTTAATAATAATTTGATGTAACATAATTTCATATTTAAATAAGATACTTAAAATGTGCGTTAAAAACAGAACAAATATGCTTTGCCTAATAGTATGATATATAGGCTATAGTTGCATTTTTTATGAGTATTTCACGCGAGCATTTATGAGTATTTCGCATCTAAAAACAGAGCCAATATTTAAATGTAAATGAGACAATAGATAAATGCTTAAAAACGCTTCGATAACTAATACAAAAAAGTACCCACTCTTAGTTATAATTGCTAGAAAAGAGTATTTTTTTAATTGTTTAATTGAAAAGCAGTTTTATAAAGGCGAAACTTTAACAACGGCATTTTATATTTTTTTTTATCACATTTTACCATCTTTCCTTCTTTACGATAAATGAATAAAAAATAAGACAATATTGTTACAAATTATTGAAGCAAATAAATTGGAATTGTGAACTATTTTTTTTCCATCGATTTCTTTGACAGAAGATTAAAATCTATAAAAAACTAAAAATGAATACGTATTGGGTTTTGTTTTTGCTGTATTAAACAATCAAAATGATTGTATTTTAGTAGCATAAAAAAGAAAAATTTCTTTTATTTCTTTAACTGTAGTGAAATAAAGAGTAAATATTCTTTTAACAGTTTAGCACTGATAAAAAATTAGTCATCAAAAATAAATTTAATTACACTTTCTTTGCAATATTTTCTCTATTAAATACTTTAAAATTATTCCTACTTCAAATTTTGTAGTTATAAGAATTTGGTCAATGAAAATTTAATTAAAAATTTTGGTTTTTCTCATGTTAATGATTAAAATAATTAAAAATATTTTGCTGAATGTTACATGAGTAATTAATTCAATGGATAAAGCTATAAAAAGTGAATTTATTGATTTATTAATTGATAATTAATATGGAGCAAAGCTAGAGAAAATAGTTTATTTAATAATTTGCTAACAATTTACTTGCTTCTAGCAATTTATTTAGCATATTGAAATTGAATTTTTTTTTCTGTTGTTGAATTTCACAGTAGTTTAGCCCGATCCCCGGTAGTTGAGTGGTCCTGGATTCGATCCTCTGGCCGGGCAAGGTTGACTCAGCTTTTCATATCTTCAGTGGGTCGATAAATGAGTACCAAGCATGCTTGGGAACTAAACACTGGGGGTCCTGCGTTCGGCTGACCACATGACCGGAACACCTGCTCCTGCACCCCAGAGCCAAAGGTCAAGAAAACTGAGATGGGCACAGTAGGCCTTGGTCCCTCTATGAGCTGTTGCGTCACTGAGTTTGAGTTTAGAAGTTTAGCCCTAGATAATTTCTTTTCCTGACATTTTGCACTATGTCACTAATTTTCAGGGACGTTTCAGTTTTTCCTAATTACGCAAAAATTGTTTTCTGAAAATTTTTTTTTTTAATATTTATCACAAAAACTGTGATTTTTATTATAATTACATGTTGAGTTTAAATAACAGTAATGAAAATATTCATTCAGCATGACCAATAATGGATTGTTTCATAATGGATTGTTTCATAATGATTTTTTTCAATTTATATATATTTCTTAAAAATCTTTGCATTTAAGGATTTGTACAAAAAGCATTTCTAAAAAGCGCAATTAGTGAACGCAAATTAATACCTGAGTCATGAAAATACAAATATGATATCAAAATATGGTATCAAATGAATAAAAATATCAAAATTTGTTTGATTGCCGAAGGCTTCAGAGAGCATAGGAAAGTTTAAGTAGAAGCTACATCAAAATATCAGTTTGTTTTCCCTCAGGCTTTTCCTCGCTTGTTGTTTTCTTTTTTTTTCATTACTTAAATATTAATTTGCCACATGAATGCATAAATTTTTAGACTTCTTTTTTGACAAGGATTCTGAAAGTATATATTAAAGTTTGAATTCTAAAATCTGTGTTATATTTTAAGGATATCTTAAAATATAATCCAAATATGTATACTGTCACTGCTGAAGACCCTGGTATTATGAAGTGTCCATACATTTTACAGTATAATTGTTGCATTGCACGAAACGTATGAAAACAAAAACGTACTCTTCATTCTGTCTTTAATACTTTATCTGAGGGCAGTATTTTTCTGAAATATTACGCAGTAATAAACCCCGTTATTTTAAAGGGTCCTACCATTTTATTCTATATTTCTACTTGCTTGAATTTCCATGCGAAAAACAAAATACTTCACTCTAATAAAAAACTATAAAACTCCATCTCATAGCAGCATTTGTCTGAAATATTCCATTGTAATTCGATGTTTAAAGTGTTGATTTGTAAGAGCCAACTCATGATTGTTAAGCAGTCTACTTGATAAGATAACCATGATGCTTAGGGATGTACTACAGCACACACTTAGAAGTCAAACTAACACAAATTATGCTGATTCCCTTTGTCATTTGGAGCATGTTATCATCGCCTTATCTTCAGAATCGATTCGGTTTCCTGCTTTAACAATTAGAGATGAATGCATAAATAATGATGAACATGTCTGATTGCTCTTTAACCACCAAACCGGGATGTAGTTAGATTGTGAGATGATTTTGTACACAAACTCTAGGAGGGAAGTTCTTTTTGTTTCGCATTTAAGATCACTACATTACGAACAATATAGTTTCTCTAGTTTGTAATGTGATTTTAGATAGAAAATATTTATTGTATTAATTGCTCTATTGTATGAGTAAAAGTTTAAATTTGAAGCATGAGTAAAAAAAAATGGAATGCAAGGATGGTCCATACTTTACATTTTTAAAGAGTATTCAAATT